CTGCTGAACAGCCAGGCCTGGCTGATGAATGCGAAGGCAGCAAAACGCAGCTTTGGGACCTGCATCGAAAGCGCCTTCACACATATGCCAGACACAGACCTGCATGAAGATGGGGAAGGGACAAGAACTACACAGACAACAACGTCTGCTTCCCCCCTACATGGACCTGGAGATTTGCCCCTTCCTTTTCTTGTAATTGGCTTAAAACACAGTATTAAAACAGTATTTTATCGTATAACAGACAAGGTTTGTCTGTGAAAACCTGGAGAAAATAGGTTTAAAATAAATAGGGAGCTGCAGGACTGGGCAAGATCTCCACAGATCTTCCCCTGGACCAAGAAGGATTTGTGTGCTCCCAGGTCATCAGCCCCTGAGTTTTGCCATGTTCAGCATCACTGACCAAAGAGGGTAGGAGCGCTGTCCTAAGTGCCTTGTCAGACTCAAAAGGCTCAAAGGTTGGGGAAGTCTTATCTGGATCCAAATAGCAGAACCCCAGGACCCACTCTGCTCTGGACACTACATCTCACCCACTCAAGGGAAATGAAGCACTTTTCAAATTTTTATTGATTACTTTTGCCCAAAGGTAAAGCGTTCAGAAGCCCTTTTCAAAAAGGATAAAACCCAAAATGAAACTTTCAGCTTTGCGTTCCTTAACAGCTTTTTACTTTCTTCCACTATAGCAGGTTTTAAATGACTGAAATGAAACCAGCACATTCAACCTGGCCAAAATGATTTATCTTTTACAACTATTTAAAATCTCCAACAGACAAACCCACAGAGAATGCTAGAGAGGAAATGCAAATCAGCAACATCCCATGAGCTGCTATGATCCCTGGGGCTCATCCTACCAGCGTGGAGTGGGAGAGTCACTGGTCCTGGCGGTGGTCCAAGCTCAGTTGTCCCCTGGGGCTCTGTGCTTCATCATCAGGCTCTGCGTTCTCACATTCCCTCTGGGCACAGGAAGTGATGGAAAATACTTCTACAGGGTTTGCAGTGGCCAAAAGGCATTTTTCCTCCCATGAAGTGTTTTGTCCAGCCACTGGCCTCAAGGACCTCACAGCTCCCTGGGTAAATCTAGCCCCACTCACCCCCCAACATCTGATCCAGCCATAAAGGGGCGCAAGGAGTGAGCGTGGCTCTGAGCTGGTGGAGGGTCACCCCACTCTCTGTCCCTCATAGTCACTGACTTCAGTAACACCTTGAAAATGCTGCCCTCACCCTATCTCAGCTGGACAAGGCTTAAAGCATCCTGTGCCTGAGAGCAATGCACAGTGACCCTCTGGGAGAAATCAGCTCCAGTCCAGCCCTGCAAACAAGTCATTTGCTCTCATCAGTAACTGCTCAAGCCCAGCATGCACGGAGAGAGAACGGGGCAAAAATGAGAGACCCGAGCTAGCTTTAACCCATCCAGCTTGCGTACAAACAGCAGCAGGAGTTCTGTGCCCCTGGGCTGGCAGCAGGGTTCGTTAGTCTCACTGCATTATGATTACCCACAAGTCAGAATAGTGCAGGCAGCAAGCATGAGAAGAATACACCATCTCAAGGACTTTCTAAGGTGTGCTTCCTGCATGCTCTAGGCTGGCCCCTGCACAGAGCCAAGCTGTGAGAAAATGCAGCAAAAAATCAGCCAAAGCTTGTCCTTGTCAGAGCAGTTGTCTCTCTTTTGATATTTTAGCAGGTCTAACTAAATGGAGGAAGAACAAAGCTGGCCTTGGTGGAAGTAAGGGAAACTGGAAGTATCATTGCTTTGTTCCCATTATTTCCTTCTGAAACACGTGTGCATCTCTCATTTTTCAGTGAGGCGGAAAGCAGGGGAGGGAAGGTCCCATGGCTGCTTTCAGACTCCATGGGCTGTCAGCTCATCAGCTGCCAGATTTTGTGGAGATTGGTAACATATCACAGAATTGGCAAGAGCAGCGTCACCGTGACTCATGAGATCAGACCGCTGCAATAGCCACAGTCAGACTCTACCTTGCACAAGCTGAAGCAATAGCCACAATGCATGGGAAAAGGAGGAGGACTGGTTGTGGCACTGCCAATGTGCTCTCAAATAGCTCAGCAGGGGAGTTCAAGAACAGCATGGGCTTTCTCTTCTCTCCCCTCTGCCAGTTGCATAAGACACTTCCACAGGCACTTTCATACCAAACATGCACCACAGGCAGGACTCAGTGGAAGCACGAGATTCCTGTGCAACGCTTTAGGCCCCTGAGATCATGATATTTTTTGCTGAAGTTATCTGAGCACGTAACTAATTGCAACTGCTTGTGCCCTGAGATACTGCCAACACGGTCAGAAGCCAGTGCATGGCTGGATCCAGCCAGTGAGCTCAGAGCACAAGGCTCTGCAAGGCAGAGCTCTGCACACCTCCAGGCTGCTTAACAGTACGGCTCCCGATCCCCTTCCCTCTGCCTGCTCCTGGGAGGAGATACAGCAGCCAGCCTAGCTCCAAGGGCAATGCAGCACCCTGGGCCTGCAGCTGGGCCTGGGCAAAGCCTGACCCTGAATCAGAGGCACCCCTGACACACGGCTTGCCAAGTCCAGCCTGCAGCTGGGGTCTGACTCGCAGCTGAGGCAAGTCTGACCTGCAGTTGGAGTACAACCTGCAGCAGGGTCTGACCACGGGTGGGGCCCAACTGCAGTCAAGTTTGGCCCACAGCTGGAGTGCGACCTTCGGCTGAGCCTGTCCCACAGCCAGGGCTGTCCTGCAGCCCAGCCCCACAGCAGCAGGGCAGGCTGGACGGCGCTGGAAGGGTGTTGCCTGCTGGCACATCCAGCTGCTGCAGGGGCCCACTGAGCTGCCCGTGGCCCCCCACGCAGCCAGAGCCCAGCCCCGGGGCCGCGGCGCCCCGCCCGCCCCGGG